GATGCTCGATACACTGGCGTACAATGAAGCTTCAATTTCCAGGGGAAGCCACTCTCTCTCTTTCTCTCTCTTTCTCTCTCTCTCTCTCTCTCTCTCACCCCGACGCGATTAATCGCAATTCGATTTGACGCGACGGTGTTCGAAAATCTATCTTCACGATATGCGCTATGCAAGGCAGGAATATATGCACATCAGTTGTGTGAGTTTCGCACGGGTCGCGCAGAGTATCGACGGTGTGATGCTGTCGCTCCTCTGAACGTTTCCTCGGCGAAGAAAGATGAGCCCTCCTCGGGTTCGTCGTCGTGTTTGACGAAACGCCCGATAATTCTTTCGCGACGTGAGCGAGGATATTACGAAGGTATTATATATACGTATTATACGCGGAGAAAATATTGCGCGAGTTCACCGGAGGATTTCGGTGGTTGATACGATGACACACGCTCTGAAGAAAATGGGCGAATTAATAAGGATCAACAGGACTTTACTTTTCAGCCTTAAATATTTTCAATCTTAAAGTTATTAAAAATTAACCTTGTTTACAGGCAGATTCGAATTTCTCTGCACATTTTCGATAATGAAGAAATAAGAGGATTGAAAAACTTGGAAGCATTTTTACAAATTATTCCAGTTTTACAGACGAGTACTCTTGATTCTAACTCACCAATTTTTCTGCAGAGCGGGCAGCGATGGCGGACTGGGGTTGAAGACTAATCGAGTAATCTCTGTGTTGGGGGTAAGATCGCGATAAGCGCGACCGCCAACTACCTACCAATTGGTCCTCCGAATTGTCTGTCAATGATTTGTACACGTGTTGCAAATTATAGATTTACTCCACTGCTCAATTTCTTTCTTTCCTTTTTTTTTTCACCGATTTCTCTCTCTCGCGTGCTTGCACGCATACACAATGCATGCATATGCAACACACGCGATTCACAATTAGCTCTCTCCATCTCATTTCTTTGTTTTAAATATATATATATATATGTATATATGTATATCGTTTACATTTGTCGCTACGTCCGATTCTCAAAAGTAATTCCCGTGTTACATTCTCTCATTCTTTCTCTCTCATTCTCTCTTTCATTCACATTCTCTCTTTCTCGCGCGCTCATTTTCTCTCTTTCTCTCTCTCTCTTTCTCTCGGGATCTGCATCGGATTGTGCACATATACACGTACAATTAACATATACGACGTAGCAGTCGTTGAGAACATCCATGATTGACTTTTGCTACAATTATACAGCTTATTTAGAGTACAACTGTTCTGTTATACAAATGATTTCTCTCAACGTGACACCTGCGATGTTCTCTCTTCTTCTCACGTGTGCGTGTGCGTGTGTATTTCCTTGTTGCTCTTGCATTATGTGTGTATGTGTGTATGTGTGGAGTGTAATGGTAGATTATTGTTTTATCATTAACGTTATTATTAATATTAGGCGTATATATAGTACAGTTTACACACCGTACGGTACATACACACAGATGCCCGCGACAGCCGGAAAAGTTTCTTGCCATTTTATTGATTAGCATTTGGGTTACATCGATAGGTCCGTCCTCTTTACCTGCGCTTTCTACACTTGCACATATTTTCTCTCCTTATTCTCTCGCCAAAAGTATCCACCGTAAAGGGAAGAAAGTAAGAATATGAGACATTTTTTCTCAATTATTATATAATTTAGTTTTCTCAAAATTGATGTTTTCTTTTGTAAATATATTCATATTGAATTACCATGCAATGTATATTTGCATTGCATTTATAATTTCAATTTTATGTAGATTTCAGTGCTTTAAATTAGATACATATTGTATACATTTAGAAGTCTATATATTTTTTGAAAGTAGGACAAAATTATAATACGGATTGCCAAAATCATTCTACCTCATATCCTTACTTTCGCTGCTACTGATCGAAGTGGAGAAAGTATAGAAAAAGGAGAGAGACCTAATTTAAAAAAGGAAAAAGCAGAGATTGAAGATATAATTTCGACGAGCTCAATATTTTGGTACTGCAAGACAAAAAAATAGACGTAGGAACGATCTCTGTTTATCTGTAAATGGAAACGCGATAATTGGCGCAAGATCTTTCCATATATCTATATAGCAAAAGTCGAACTCGTCGAAACTAAATTCATTCTCTCAATGTCAGCTCGAGAGCCGTGCTCTTCGAACACGCGCTTTTGCACACACGTTGCCTACTGTTCTCTCTCTCTCTCTCTCTCTCTCTCTTCCTTTCTTTCTCATTCTCAGTCCCCCGATTGCACGGAGGATTGCATTCGTTGTCGACGGTTCGCTAAATCTCGCGATGATTCGCGATCCGATTAATTGCACTCGGTGTCGCGGGCCGCGTGATCTCCTCGGCACACGCGCGCTTCCTCGCGAAAGAAAGAAGAAAAAAAATCCGCGCGGCTAAATTAACGCGTACGTTTACACCTCATTACAGATTCAATGATACATGATAGATACCTTTTTGTTTTTATTATCTCACTTATGTACAGAGGGCAGCTTACCTATAGTTAAGGTAGGTTTTAACGCGCCGGATGACGACTGAAGTAGTAAAGCGGGACGCCGGCACTCCTCGATAATTGACGCCAGATCGATGCTGCTAATATACCTCTGAATGATTTACAAGTACAGCTGAATTCTTTATTTTTTTTTTCTTCCCTATCCGGCCCTGTCACGATATCTCGACCTTCGTCGATCCCGAATAATAATGCCCGAACGCTTAATACGGTATCCTACCTTAATTAAATAATTTCCGCGGAGAGTGCCATTAGGGTCGATATACAATATGAAGTGGCTGACCGATAATTATTGAACGGTTACGCGACGTTATCGCGTTGACAGTGTTACAAAACAACTCAGGGATCCAACATTTCTATACGGCCTACCGAAGACGAATACTCTCGCTTGCTCGTAATCTTGCCGTTCTGGGAGTCGCTTAACAGATAATCGTGCAGATAATTAGTTACACACAGTAAGAACTACAGAAATTCAATTTCTCTTTTTCTCTTTCTCTTTTACGATATAATTTGTCGTTTATAATGTGCTTTTATATTAATAAATATCCGTTTTCGTTCGCGGGCGAAACGGGACGAGACGTATAAATAAATTCATATACGAGTCGCAAAGTGGAATAAAACGAGAAGTGAAATAAAAATACAATTATATAAGTAGTGACAATGCAATCAGGATATTTTCGCGAGTAACAATGTCAAGATTTAATATTACAATTAACTTGAATAAAACGCTAATACGTCCGCGACTATGTACTTCAGTCGCAACGAAAAAATACGCAGTTTCCTTAACATCCGGATCGCTGGATTTAAGTGCTCGAGTTTTCGTGAGCGAAAATAAATTGTGCACATGACCGGCGTATCGCCATCGTCATTATATCGTCATCGAGATAGTTTATGTTTAAATTACGAGCCGAATTACACGCCGGGTGTACGTCAGTGAATTATCGATTGCGCATGAATAATCGAATACTATTGATTGATTGAAATGGACCGCTTCGGGTATACCAAAATATAATTGAGAAGCGTTGTTTCCCTTCAGGGAATAAGACGTAAATTTTTTAGAAATGGGCACATTGCTTTAAAATTTTTTTAAAGCGTGTCGCTGAAATATCTTTATTTTCGATGTTTGAACTTTTTTTTTAGAGTTTATAGTATCCGATTATAGATTGAGCGTTATATTTATTTAAATTCGCCGCTTCAGTTACGACAAATAACGTAAATTAAATCGTGCTCACGTACCGCATCGCTTCTGTGTTTAACCCTTCGACTCCTCCGGTCTCCGTGAACGTTTTAAACGCGCTTACGTTTGTCGCCGAACCTTTATTGCCGCGATAACGTCTCTAATTTTGTTATAGAATAACGCTAAATATTAAATATATCTGACATTATTTAAATATAAATACTCTCTTGAATAATATGTTTTCCTAAACAGCTTACAATTGCAACTTTGAAGCGACATTAAAACGTGAATTTTACGTCATCTGCGTTGCCCGCGTGAAATCAGACGGGAGGAGCCGCGAAGGGTTAATTCGACTCTGCCATACGTCTCTCTGATGGATCGGCATTTTGAATTCGTGGAGTTCTTTGTCGAGTGATTGACGCTTATTGTCAGACTTTTTCCTGGGCGTATCTTACTTAATGCGTGGACTCTTGAGACACGGAGTCACTCCCCTTTTCGCGTGAGCCTACTGTGCCAAACATCGAGTGAGCAACATCGTCCCTGCTATAACGATCGTCGTCATTATCAACCGCAAAACAAAATGCACCTTCGTTCAATTTCTTCCCCTCGCGCTATCTACTCTCCTGTTCGTTAACAAAAAATTGAAACGTGCATCATTCCCTTTTTTTTTCAAATCTCAATGCCGCAGACACGATGGGAATAGCATATTTTTTTTGCATGCTTCTGAGATGAAATAATCATTAGAAAAAAAAAACAATTATTTTAGCATAATGTGAAATTTATGATTTTTCCGATAGAAAAATATTATAAAAATTATGTATTGGTTATCTTTGCGAAACTTTTTTTTTATTACTTCAAAGATCGTTTTAGATGATTAACGCTAACCGCGACTTAATTGGATCTTTTGCCTCCTTCGGCTCGGTTTGCCTCTTTTGCCTCAGTTTCCGATAGGAAATAAAGAGTTGATCAAACCCCAATTAAGTGTAATTAATTTTTACGAGAGCGTGAATTTATATGATCGTTACAATTGACATTTATTATCTATGATAATGGAAACGCGACAATTTGCCGCGTGTGTCTGTAACATGGAAATTTGAACTTTCGGAAATTATGTCGAGAGTCCATTCCGGACTCTCGTCAAGCAGATCAACCGAAAGGAGAGCCACGACCGTTCGTTTGACAGTCGTTGGCTAACTCGGTCGCATCTCGATGATCACAATATATGTATATATATGTATATATAGAGCGTACATTATTCATATATATCATCTCGCGCCGAGAAAGGGTGAAAGAAAACGGGTGCGAACGAAAGACGAGTTTTTTTGAAATAAATAACATAACGAGAGGGAGCGACGAAGTAAGTGGACTAGTTAACACACCAGCGTCGCACACGACACTTTCTCCTGCTCTCTTTCTTTCTCTCTCTCTCTCTCTCTCTCCTCTTTCCCTTTTTCTAACACACGTTAACACACACGTGCACACATGCGCGCAGACACACGCACAAAATACGATCTCTCGGTTTTTTCTCCCCCCCCCCCTTTTCTGCGTGTTGTCGCATTTTTTTAGCAATTACAGTTAGCGTTCGCTGGATTGGTCGGCTGATCGGTGAGTCGCTGGCCCTTAGTCTGACCCATACCGCCCGACCCCATCAGGCTCGGATCATTGTCCAGAGATTCGCTCATCTTGTCGCATATTATGTCCACCAGCTGCTCGAACACCGCCTGCCGAAACGAGAGAGAAAGAGGATCGATCATCTATGTGACCTCGCGACATCGACGGGATCGATATGCCTCGCGTTCGCATTCACTTCGAAACACAATAGAGCGAGATTGGAAACGTGTCAGAGATTGGAAACGAGGTCTAAAAACTCTTGCGAATTCTTATATTGCCTTTAGTGTATAGATTTGTGCATAGATATGAAATAAGTAAAAAAAATTAGCTCTCTTTCTTGATGAACAGACAGATTTGGAATGAAATTAACATTTTAAAGCAAAACTTCTACAAAATATAATACTATGCTACCTTTTAAAAATTTTATTATGAATATTTGAGTTGTTTAATTAAACTTATTAATGTCATTAATTAGATAATTACTAATTGGACAATAGTTATGACTATTTATATAACTTTATGCGAATAGGAAGGCAATAAAAATTTCAAGAAACACCTCCTGCATACATATGTAATCTTAATTTAATTTATCAATATTTTTAGAAATACGAAATGTATATTTTTTATTTATCAAAAGCTGATCGATCGGAGGTTAACGAATTCACGTACCTTGACGTTGATGTTCTCTTTGGCCGAGGTCTCGAAGAATCGAACCCCTAACTGCTCCGCCAACTGTTTTCCCCTCTCGGTGCTGATCACCCTTTCCTCTTCCATGTCGCACTTGTTGCCCACGAGAATCACTTGGGCGTTGTCCCACGAGTAGTTCTTTATTTGCGTGACCCAATCCTGGACTGAATTAAAGGACTCCTCGTTTGTGATGTCGTACATTAAGATGAAACCCATCGCGCCTCTGTAGTAGGCCGTCGTGATCGTCCTGTATCTTTCCTGACCCGCCGTGTCCTGCGAAAGGAGGAATGATTGATAAGCGCCCCAATTTTATATTATAAATGGATATAGTCACGCACACGGAGCGTTGCTCCTGCATACAGCGATATTTTTCTCATAAAATTATTTTATAAGACGGATATTGTTAAAATATCAATTGTAAGAAATAACCCGAAATGTCTACTCGTTTTACTGACAGGCCTCTATTTTAATACATATATGAATATTGAAAAGTCCATGTTGATATATTACAGCGCATAGCGGCTGCTTTTCGTCAGGAAATTATATTACACGTGCATAATACATCGACTGTATACTGACCCAGATTTGTAACTTGACCCTTTTGTCGTGTCTGAAGACGGTCTTCACCTTAAAGTCGATCCCTACCGTTGACACGAAAGCTGAAGTAAAAGAATCGTCCGCGTATCGAAAGAGGAAGGAGGTCTTGCCGACGGACGAGTTGCCGATTATCAGCAGCTTGAACATGTAATCGAAGTTTTGATCCGCGGCATCTCTGCCATCCTGACGCGCCATCTGCGAAGGGATTTATTCGTGTTAGCTTAAATTATGAATTCAAATTTTTATATTTTTAGATCTGCAGATAAAAAGAATTCATGAATAAAGAAAAATTATAACTGAAAGGATTTTTATTAATTTTTGAATTTAATACCTAAGAGAAAATTCAATTAAAACTAAGTAAAATTAATGTTAAATATTAAAATTAAATTTATCATAATAAAATCTAAGAGAAAATTCAATTAAGACTAAGTGAAATTAATGTTAAATATTAAAATTAAATTTATCATAATAAAATCTAAGAGAAAATTCAATTAAGACTGAATAAAATTAATGCTAAATATTAAATTAAATTAGCATTTTTTTTTTCAAATAATACAGAATTTAAATGATTAAGAATTAGAGAAATTACGAAAGTAATATATTATACATGTTTCGTAATGTTTCTTAATACTTTATGAATCGGCGGAATGAAAGGAAGGGAAGAACACGAGACTTGTGTATCGTGATTGGCTTTACACACACGTGCTGTGCACGTAATGAAACTGCTCGATATGGGACGAGATGAACAAAAGGAAGGCGCTCGATTGGTGCAGTAGTTGAGCTTACTACTGATGCGAAATTCATCACGGTTTATCGGATCGCTTGGTCACGTTCACGAAAACGTTGGATAAAAATATCGAAAAGTTTGAAGCTCGCGCGGGGGAAATTCGGCTGTACTCTCCGGTATCTCGCAGAGGGTCAGTTTTGGAATCAATTCAACGATACCAATAAAAAGTATTGTAGCTTCAAAACTGAAACTTTTCCAGGGGAATTGTTTGTCGAACAGTTTTTCTTCCTAAAAGTTTCTCTTTTGTGAGTTTATAACAGAAACGAAATATCAGATAAATAAAAAACTGTGGTAGATTCGAGTTACAATACTTTTTTGGATCGTGTTACTGTGACGAAGCAGAATTGTGAACTGTATGTAATTGAAAACGCTCGAAAATGCAGTCGCAATATGTACTTTTTACAGGTATCGCCGAATCATAAATGGTTTGAAGAACTTTAAAAGGCATTTAAAATCTTTTCTGAATGATTAAAAGTCTTTTTTGGTCTTTTTTAAAGGCTTTAAATCCCAGAATGTGTTATAATATCTTTGATTCTCAATTTTAAGAAAACGTAATAAACTTTTTGACGGGGATACAAAAAAAAATGGAATTTTATTAGCGTTTCATAGCTCTTTCGGTCGGTCGGTCAACTTCGCGCTCTATCATATACTCTCATAAATCTCTCAAAGTGAAATTACAAGCGGAAAATTCAATTAAATCACTCGATTATGGAATTTATATATCGTCAATGTTATCGCGCATATGAATCTCAGTTGTGAAGTCCATTGAATTTTCTCGCGCGCTTTCTCCCTTCGTTAAGTCTCCCTTCGCTCGACGAAAGCGGCAACTCGTGCCGACGGATACTCAGTGTCGAGTCGATATTCCGATACCGGATTATTCCTCTGCGAGGTAATCTCCACGATGGACAGCATCCGGGCCATCCGCGTGCGTAGCTCGAAAACGGAATCCTTAACCGGCGCGTGGGACGCGTTCTCGCACCTCCTCGACATCGTCAAACGTCTCATGCGACACCCAATCGATTTCTTTTATCTCGTCACTCTTCCCTTACTATACAGCTTTTGATCACTTCCCGAGATCGATTTCTGTGTGTCTCCGCCCTAGTTTTTTTCATTAACTGCAAATTATTAGTCATTTTACTTCAGTCATCTCTATAGTCTCGTTCTGTTGTTTGCAATTCATTTACCGTTGTATTAATCGCTTCTCATTAGCTAAGAACTCATCAACCGCTAGTCTCTCTCTCTAATCTTGTTCAAAGAATTGTTTCATTAAGCGTTTAACAGTTTGTGTTTCGGTTCAGAATTATTAAATAATGAATGCTAAATGTTTGTTTGTCACTCCGCTTTGCTTTAATCTTCCTTCCGGGTCAGCAGATGTTTATCGCCGGTGCGATTATTGTCGATTGTTGTCGACCACTTTTTTTGGACATTCACTGTTTCTTCCATCTTGGCACGAAATGCAATAACATATTGCCTCTCCGTTCACTTGACGCGTTTAATTAATTGACCGAGAGAAATTTGAGGACGTGTAGAGGAATGGTAAAGGAATTACTGTGAGATGCACGCGATATGCCTCGGTAAACAGCATCGCGAAATTATTCGAGCTTGGCTCGAATAGCGAGACTGGCCCCGAATGGATAACGACGTGGCGACATTCGCGGTTCTTTCTTCCGTTTCTCGTTGCACTGTATTGCTTCCGCACGCACGACGTGTCGACGACGATAATCGGACCTGCTGCGAGCGATAGTCTGCGGTTCGCACAGGTGCGTATAACAGAGTTCGTGTTGCCTTGGCTTACTCCTGTTGTTTGACTGTTCAGTGTTGCGTTAAGTAAATAAATTCTGATCTATATATTATCTGTGGAATTTTTTCAAGAACTCTAAACGAACACATGTACTTGTTTTATATGCGTATATTTCATATATTAAGTAACGTTGATATTTTTTCTTAATTAGATAAAGGTATTAAAATAAAAATTTACTCGAATTTATATCGAATTTACGTTCTGCTAGAGATCAATTTAGGGAATTATTGAATTTCTAATAGTCTGTAATTATTTTAGAAAACTATTTAACTTCTTGTTAAGGGAAATTCAATTTCAGGTCAGAATAAAGATATTCTGAATATTATTACATTATTGAAACATATTAGATTTAAAGCAACAACTTAATTATGTTGAAGACTATCAAGGAAAACGTTGATATCTTATATTCTATAAAAATAACATATATAAAAAATAACGAACGTGCATGTTTCGTAAAATTTTTAAATGTATACGCGATATAACATTTTTACTTTACAATATTTCTCGGCGTTCTTCTCGGAACTCGCGCGTGCTAAATGATGTGTTACGAAAATAGTCTAAACCTTTACAAGAAGAGGGAAATTTCATTTTAACAAAATAGCATCTAATCTATTCAGCGTGACAGTAATTAACGGAGGTATCACCTTTCGTCGCAGTTTGTCCTCTCTCTCTCTCTCTCTCTCTCTTTTCTCTCTTTCTTTCTCTCTCTCGTCGCAAAAATAACCATCCTCGCGATTAAATGCAAAAGAAGAAATTTCTTGTAGTTCATCGATTACCGAACTCGTCAAAAGTAACGTGGCTATACTCGCGGTTGGAAATAAATCGGTGGATCGAGAGCTATAAATACTCGCTTACACGAATGTAAAACCGAGGGCGAGCCGAGGGACTTTTAGATCCGGTAGCAGGTTCCTATCGATTTCGCGCTTGATTCGCCATACAAAACTTCAAAAGTAAAAAAAAAATATACGACCTCTGCACTTTTGCCGACAAAAACCCATAGAGATCTTTACACAAAGTTTACACAAAGTTCTATTATGAAAGAGAATGAAGAACATCTTTGAGGACAAAATCGATTCGATTTAAAGTTTGATTGAATTTGAGATTTTTTTTTCTTAATGAAAATTTTGATAGAAGTTTCTCATCTTCCTTCATGATTTTTCAATTTAGACCGTTTGATATCTTAGAAAATGTTATTTAAAACTTAACTGCAATGAATTTCTTTTTAAAAGAGCAGTTTCATTAAAACTGAGTTTTGTATTTAATTTTTTTCACCAAATTTAATATTATTTGACACTTGAAAATTTCGCTTACATATGACTGAAACATTATTAGCATCTCGACATTCTCGATAAGGAGGAACTCGAAGCACAGATGACTCGCGGGGGGGATTCTCGTGTGTCTTCAGAGCGTTGCGCGTATATATGCGCATATATATATATTACTGCACGGAGTTGTGAACGCGTTAAACGGACACAATCAAGACAACATGACCGCGACAATTACACAGAGAGCACTGCATGTAATTATTTTGCGAGGAGGCGTAAAAGGGAGAGGATAAAATCTCATCCGGAAGATTGCGTCACGCACTCACACACGCTCCGAGCGCGTATTACACGTACGGCACGGTTAAAGGAAAAAGTAGGACAAGGTTTTCCGTGTGCGATAACGATATCGGCGCCGTATGTCATGTCAACGTTAACAACGGTCGGTTCTCGTAAAAAAAAAGGAGAAAAGTGCAGGTACCGCGCGCTACCACCTGCGAGCATTGTTGTACAGTGTTACGACGATTTCCGTGACGGATGGTGGAAGGTAATTGAGTGTCTCGGTGGACAGATGATGATTGAGGCGACGCGCGTTCTACGGAGGTCAAGTAGATACGGAAATCGATGGCACGATGACGACGACGACGACGACGACGGCGGCGGCGGCGACGACGGGACAAGTCCATTTCTTCTTGGCAACTTCGTGGCAACTTCGTTTTCGCTCGAAATTACAGTTTCAGTTATATCAATTTTGCAGGAATACATCGCGGTTGGTAGCATGGTGTATTTCACTGGGGTCGGGATCTTTACTCGATATCCTACTTCTGGTTGGTTGAGTCCCAGATTTTACCGAGTATTTTCGTTTAAAGGCTCATTGAAATCCGCGCTAATATACCGTAAGATACGATAACATATGATAACTATAGTGAGATGCATGATGGAACGTAGTTTAACAGTAATAATAAATAAGATTTGAAATTGGAATTTACATGGAGTCGGATTTGAGGATGGAAAGAAGGGGAATCTCCTTTGATCTCTCTTCTCTGCTCTCGTGTACGACTTGCAACAACTCGATTCGAGGCGAGGATCGGATCGCAACTGTCGCGCCTTCCGACAGTTGATGCGTAATCGTCCGATCCGTCGGCCACGCTCGATTCCATTGATTTCCAACGGCGCGGCGGCGAGGGAGCAAATATTTTCGGAGGCAAATCGATTGTCGTACCCCCCCCCTCGATCGCCCGCCCGCCCACGCTCTCTTCCGTGCTCTCGCACTCTCGCCCGTCCCGTAGTTACGTAGTTTCGATTTCAGTGCATCCGTAGAATGAACGGCGACGGAAGATGGAGCCTCCGTTTACGTCAGAGGCACGCGCGTTAGCGTATAAAGAAGCGAAGTCTTTGAACAGCCGCCCGGCGCGGCGCGACGCGGCGGCGCGCCTACGAGTCGGGCGCGAGTAATTAATCCCTTCGAGACGTTCAGCTGACTATGGTCGCGATGGCTTTCCACCCTGTCAGATCATTAGGGTCGATCCCTTCGACAAATTAGCAACTTGGTACAGTTAAACTTCGATAACTGTTAAAATAATTAGAAGGTAGAAGGGTGATCTAATTGAGATACAAGCTTAAATTTAATTTATACAAAAAATAAGATAAAACATCTTATATAACGCGTGATGACCACATATTTTGATAGATTTGTGTAAAATTATTGTGTAAAATAGCATTTTACTTTAATTTATGAATTTACTATTCGTCTAAAGACAAGCTAAGCTTTAAATTTATACTGATTAGTTATGGTGTTCTTAACACTAGGAAAAGATTAATAATTATTCGCTCGCGAGGAAGATCTAGGAAAATCACTCCGAAAGTTATCGCGCCCGATTATACGGAGGGCTGATACACTCAGCTGGGTGTTGCACGACAGCGAGCTAACTTATCGGCCTGCTCCTCTATTTTTCGCCTCTTAAGCTTCCGACGATTAATGAAAAAAGTCGCGCGAAAGATATTCACGATGCAGGACGGAAATCTTAGGCGCCGTGGATGAACAATGCGGGGCGGAGGTGACGTGAAACGGATAAATGGTCGAACGAGGAATTGATCGGAAGAGGCCGGAGCGTGGTCGCCTACGTCACAACGACTCTACGGTGTCGCATGAAACGCAGAAAGTGAGCCCGAGTGAATGAAAGGCCAGGCGATCGTGCCCGCAGTTTTGACGGCTGGCATGAAAGCGGGAAGGAGAGAACGGGAGAGAGGAGGACTTTATCGCCGCTTATATATTGGGCCAGGCTTTTCACAAGCTGTGGGATAACACACGAACAAGAAAGACTTGGACGATTAAAAAAAATATAGAGGAAAAAAGAAAGAGAGGAGGACAGGCACAAAATAGACAGGTGATGACGTTCCAATCTGCGTACTCTTTTGCATTTTTACGTAAAATTAAAAGAAGAAAGGGCGAATATGAGACAAATATTCAGAAACGGGGAAATAATTTAAAATGACAGAGAGATAGGCAGAGGCCACGCGAGAGACCAGGAGAGCGTGAGAGAAAGGGAGAGCACAGGAGCAAGAGAAAGAGAGAGAGAGAGAGAGGTAGATGAAGAGAAATCAATAAGCAAGCTATCGACGCGTTTACTTTCCGCGAGGAAAGCCTCTTTCGCGAAGTTCCTGAGTTTCCTATAACGATTCGCGAACGACGGGGTGAGTGAGGCCACGAGGTGTCACCTGGAAGAGTCACTCCCTGGGGATGGGGAAGGAGGCTGTCTCTCCCCTTGCGAACGACGGATCGCTCCTCGCTGTGGTGTGGATCGGTCGACGTGGGAAAATCCCCGCACGGATTTTTCGCCGTCGGCTGTTCTCGGCTGCGACGTGAGAGATGAGCGACGACGAAACGGTGAGATGCACCACGCGCTGCGCTGCGCTCGGCTGCCGATCGATTAATATTTAACGCACGAGGGGGATCCGCGAGGGAGGGGGACGTGTGACGACGGGGGCGGCCAAGCGCGGGGGATACTATCCCTCTCTCGTTGTGGACAACGCCGCTCTCGCGAGGTCTCGCACCACCGACCAAGCACTGACGGGCACACGACAGGGGGAGTTTATTTCGTAACAGCGAATATACGGAGACTGGACTGCCCGATCTCGTTGAGGCGTCTCGCGCACCGTTAGACCACCCGCTTGGCTATAGCTAAAATATCGACCATTTCGTACGACCCCCGCCCGACGTCGGCCCGATCCGGGGGGGAAAGTTCCGCGCCTGCGCCACCAGCCAACCCCGACTGACATCAATATAATCGTGAATAGAAAGCACACGCTCGCCGGGGGAGAGAGAGAACACTTGTTGATCCGGGGGATGCCCCGTGGATATCTCGCCTCGAATGACTTTCAGCGACTTCCAGTCCGCTCGATTCTGCGCGAAATTTCGCAAATTGATCGCGGCGCCAATGATTATTACGTCAGTTTCTTCAGATATTTTTTTTCCAACTGAAGAAAATCTCTCAATTTTAATTGAGATTTTGTACGTACAGATATTCTATAGTTAAAAAGCTTTAAAAAAATCTATTCAATGTTACCCAACATTGGCAAACATGAACTCGAAGAGATTTTTTTAAATTTTTAATCTGTGAGAGATTGTGTTTTTAATCTATATCTTTATCTTTTCCTTTCAATCTGTTATTTAAAAAAATTTGTTATCATAAAGAAAAAAGTGAAGGACTTAATAGATGATCGATAGCCTTTGGTTTCAGATCAAACAGTTAGATGATTTGATGAATTTTTGTAGATATTTGATAATTTAATCCGATAATTTTCAGAAAATTTATTTCATATCAAAAATTTTAATCAAGTTAAATGCTTTTTCTTTTTCTCTTTTTGGAAAAAGAATATTAATTTAATGTTTTAATTAAATATATGTAAAAAATTAATAATTATCAAAAAGGGAAGAATTACAATTATCGTTAAAAAAACTTGATTTTAAATTAAAGCATTTTATTATTAAAATTTCATGTGGGCAGTGAATTTCTTTCGTTTTTTCTCTCATATATTTAATGTGAAATTCATATGAATAATCAACCTGTGTCTCTTAAATACAAAAGACTACGTGTTCCATCTATAGTAAAATTGAAGAACCACGAGCTTTCCTATATTTCTGTCGGCTGGCAAGTCTTTTCATGATTGCCAATATTGATTTAAATTGATACAACGCTTCAATTCTTAGATGGCTATAATTACGGAATTATCGATTAATTTATGCTCCCGCAGGGATGACTGATTCGCACAGTCATTTGGGCTTAACGAATTCACGGATCCTACTCAATACACTGCAAGCACTACATTTACATACCATTTACACACATCCATGTACTCATGTATTTTTATTATTTTTAATTTAATGAAGTAAATACATAATAATTAAGCAACATATCGAACATTTAAAAATTATTAAGAAGAAATAATAATTTATAACGTAGATTATATATAAATTCTTTATTATATTTTACATATTACCCAAAGAGAGGAACCGAATTGTAAAATGTAAAGTCTAATATATACATTTTCATTTGTTTAAAATTTTTGATCAAGAATGTATAAATCATTTAGGAAGCGATACTCAAATTTACTTATAAAACTATGATGGTATCTGTCGTGTACGATTTTACGCTTTATCAAAAATATATATTCTACATTTATTAGAATTAAAAATTATTGCATCATCACAGAGAAGAATGATATATGCGACAGTATTCGTTAATATATTAAAGCTTAATTCTATAGCCCTTATATATTCTCGATTTTATTTTATTAAATCTACGTAAATACAGCCAATCGCAATAAAAAAAATGCGAAAGTAAAATACATATAAAAGCTTCTCTAAAAATATAAAAGCAATAACGAAGAATCTTAAATCAACAAAACAAGCCTGTCGAGTATTCTGCTAATCTTTAAAAACTTATTTTTTAATCATTTTTTTCCCGTTTTTTTTTATTTAATTTTATTTATATGGCAAAATTGATATTTTGGGAATAAAAACTAATTGCAAGACCGATTTAGAATCGAGAAATCAGCTTCTCCGTTTCTAATTAAAGATTAGACAGCAGTAATATCAGTTGTGATACCAGTGGCGCTTTATGGCAACCGCGTCTCTCTTTTAAATAATATAAAATAATAAATAGAAATATTATTTCCTAACGTATTGGTTCTTTATTAATCTCTTCCCGGAAATTTTCCTGGAAAATCTCATTTGATTTACTGCTTGCGGTCTTGTTCTTCCCCCTTGCGTTGAATAGACGATCAAATACGAACGTCAATCAAATAATCTCCATCTCGATCGATTATGCTTTTCATTGCGTGTTGCCTTGTGTCAATTACGAAATCCAGTTTTTTTTTATGCGATAAGTCTTTTCCTCCGACATCGCATTAAGTGGCAGAGTAAACAGCGCTGTCACACGCACTTAATTGTATACTGCTGCCGGAATTATATACGTAAACAGACCGCAAGTATAAATATTACCGCAATTACATAGCTCCATTAAAAAAAAAGTGTAGTTATAGTACCTTGCAAGCATGTAAATGTATAGAGAACTGTGTAATTCCCTCGGCATAATTTAAAATGTAACATGTCATATCATAACATGTTATATATGGAATACTCGAGATAATTTTTTATCGCGCAAAGAGAGCTCGAAATGCAATAGTTAATAATGGCGGTGGTTTAACACGCGAAGCTTCCAGCCGATTTTCGATTCACAATTTACTCTCGGTGCTCTCGTCGTACACGATCGCCGGATTCGTGACCGCCCATTTCTCTTTGGTGGCCTGCTGCTCCTTCCGCGGCCGATCCTTCAGATTCTGTATGCCGGCGTAATGCTCCTCGATTTCTCGCAAGGTCCTACCCTCGGTCTCGGGCAATATCACGTACAGCAGACACAGGCCGACGAGATTGATGAGCGAGTAGAAGAAATTCGTGCCGGGCAGTGACATGCTGTTCATCATGTAGAGGAAGGTTTTGTTCGCGATCGACGCCAAAATGTAGGCGATCATGCCGGCCGCGCCGGTCGCGCTGCTGCGTACCTGATGACAAATTCGAAATCGTTTTGAAAACACGAAGAATAAATGTATAAATATAAAAAGAAGAAAATTTTTTAAGCATTTCAATAATAATGCAGTTTCCGTTTTTCGAAAAATCGATCGACTTGTCGTAATAACGGCGAATACAACTTTTGCCATATTGATACAAATGTCGCAGAAAGAGTTTTATAAGAAGAATACAGAAGGAAACCTGACAGGTACAAAAAATATTGATCTGTATTTTAAAGCAAAAAATTTTAGATTAATAGAAGATACGTAGTTTGGCGATTAAGTTCGTAAACAAAATTTAAATGAGCTCAAGAGATTGAGACCAAAGGAGAGAATATCGTGTAGAATACACGCACTTTCGGGGGGAAAACCTCGCCCGCGAGGATCCAAGGCAGCGTCCTGATGCCCATGCTTGCCATGAAAGCGGCGCCTATCATGAAGGTAGTCGGTATCCAGCTGTACCTGACCCCGTCCAAGATACCCGCGTCGTTCAGATAGCCGTAGACGGCGGTGGTGAGGAAGCACAAACCGGTACCGCCGACCGACAGGAAGGTCAGCCTGCGTTTCCCTATGAGGTGGATCGTCAGCACGCAGAGCGTGATGCCGATCAACTGGGCGACGCCCAGGAACACCGTGGCCGTGTACTTGTCGATCGGCGCGTTCAGCTTGGCGAATATCACGACGGCGAAGGTCTGCAGGGTCGTCAGGCCGCCGAAGTTACTGATGAAGAAGCCTGCGCTGACCAGAATGAAAGGCAGGTAGAATGTTCGTTTCGTATAGGCTCGCCAGACCTCCTCCTTGTCGGAGTCGGCGTTATCGGTCGGCTTCTGAATCGCCACGCGCAGCGCCTCGAATTCATTGTGCACCTGCGACGGACCCACCCAGCCCCGCAGCCAACCAAGCGCGCGTTTAGATTCCTTCAGACGACCCTTAACTGGAAGGGATCAATTTTCCGCATCATTTGCAGTAACAGTTACAGTAAATGAATATTTCGATTGACGACCACCTACCGGCGAGCCAGTGCGGGCTCTCGGGCACCAAGCACAGAGCGAGGAAGCAGAGAACCGGATAAATCAGATTGATCAACGCCACCGTTCGCCAGTGGACCAAACTGCCGCTCAGCATTTGCGTGAAGACACCCAGGATCACCGCCATCGAGGAAGTCGCGGAGAGCATCCCGCGTAGGTAGGGCTGCGTCACCTCGGCGACGTATGTTATAACCGGGCCCTCGAGGAGGCCGCCCGTCAGGCCCGTCATCGCGAGCGCCGCGAGCAGCATCCCGGGATTGGTTGCGTAGTAAAAGATTAGCCAGGCCAACACGAACGGTATATTCGCCAGCATCATCGTTCGTTTCCTGCCTAGATATTGCGACAGCGGTCCGCTGGCCAAGCAGCCGATCGGCACGAGGAATAAATTCAGGCTGCCTGGAAAAGGATATTTTAACAATGAAGACAATGCAGATAACGATAATTATCGATATAGATGCAATAAAACTATTATCTGAAATCCAGTTAAACTATAAACTATATATAATAAATTGATAATTAAAAGTAATAATTTAAATAATAATATTAAGGTAATTTATAATACGGCGAATATTACAACTTTTGCCATAAAATTTGATCGATACAAACTTAAGTGTCACGGAAAGAGTTTTATAAGAAGAATGTAGGAGATCTGACAGAAAAATTCTATCCATTTTAAAGCAAAATTTTTTAATAAGATTTTTTAATAAGATAATTCTATGTCGCATTCTCTTAACGCGCTATATTTATAAATGATCCATGTTTATTTACTGATCCATGTTAATTCCTCTAGCGTGACTTTGATGTCCGCATCCTCCTTCTGCAACGCTGGGATAAGAATAGTTGAAAATCCCAAGGTTGTACCGAAAGTAATTAAGAGCAAATTTTTAGCGCTGACTGCGCAACACTGTGGTACTGCTTGTCGAAGTTTGGAAATATACACTTCCTCCGTGACTGATGTTTTGTCATCGTTCCTACAATAGCAGAGAAAAAATACTTATACAGGCTACGTTTTATTGCAAGCGCAACGATGAATTTAATGCTTGACCCTTTTAACGCTTTACGTTAAATATATTAAATATACATTATAACTAAAAATAAAATTAATAAATATTAAAATCTCTTTTTTTCTATACGTATTAAATTATTAATTAATAATTATTACTTTAATTTTTTGTAATGTATTTAACTTAAATATTTTTATTATATATTTTTCTCTTGTGCAAAATGTTTTAAATTCTTTCTTAAATTCTTTTATAAATGCCGATTTTAAGTGTTATACTATAACTATATAATTAATAAGAATTTTTATATATAGCAGACAAAACATATAGTTAGCCCATTAATTATTTAGGATATTCCATTATCATTATTATATTTAAAGTGAATTATGAAATAAGAAATATACATTGTATTATTAACAGAAAATATCTGCTCCTAATTCTTATAGTAAATGACTAATCAAACCGATTATCGCGCGCGAGATCAAGGAGATCGTATTATAATAATAGATTTGTTTCTTGGAGGAAGATTAATAACCGCAAAAAGAACATAGTAATCATGCTGATTCATAAAAGATTAATATAATTTTGCAAATATTAATTCCATCGTATTGTTTATTAATGCGCATTAAATTTATTAATGGGACATTTGATGTAATCCTACTTTTGACAGAAATGGACAAGTGTCCGTCTTAAATAACATCTTCTAGAACTAGTAGCTATTTGATGCATTTGTAGACCTTGAGAATTACTATGCTCGACACATCTTCAAAGGCCTACATGCACTACATTGAATTCTCAATCAGTCAAATGAAGGGTCTTAAATGGATTGTGGACAAGGTGGAAGGAGTTCCACATATTCGTGATACGTGAATAATTTTTCTCATTTAGAGGACGATTAAACGCACGTTTCATAATCAAATGAACAGGGAAAAAAAAATATAAATTTTTTTAACTTGTTACAAATATTACTATTAAAATATAGTATTATCATTTAGGGCACTTATTAAATCTAACTAAAAAGTTTATATTTTAAAAATATATAATTTATAAATTATTTAAGAGAATATCTAATTTTAATATAAATAAAGATAAGATAATATCACGTAGAATACAACGTGTATCTACTAATATAAATCAATATAAAATGAAAGTAGGACATTTATGCACTGAAGGAAAGTATACACGAGTTCAATGAAACGCAATTCTTCCACATCATTAAAGCATAATCGGCGATCCATTTACAAGACCTTTCACTTGACGTAATCATTTTGCTTTCGGCAACAATTTATCCGGCTTATAGATTCAGTTTTCAAGTGCCAATAGCCTGTTTTCTCGAGCCACGCATTAAAATATCTGAATAATTTTGTCATACAAATGCCACATAAATATTTTTTATTGTAATTAATGAAGTTTATGAAAAAGTTTCGTAAATAAATTAAAAACGAAAAATTCGTCAATAATTTTTTCGCTAGAAGATATCTCGAGGATTGACTTTCTTTCTATTTATTATTCTACGAAAAAAATAGAGAATTTAGAATCTTCTATAAAATATAAAAATGATTAGAAAGCTACTCAAATGAATTGGAACAGAATATCCTTAAAACTGTACATGAAAAGAAATTAAAAGGAAATTCGTTCTTCGTACGTTGATGAGATTAAAATAATTTCACGATCCCGTAAGAATGTTTGCGACAGGAGAAAGAGAGAAAGAACCGGTTTGCGATGATCCACATATATTGTATTGCGCAAACGTGCGAGAAGGCGCGCAATTACATAAGCGCAATGGTTAGGTTGAGGCGCCTTTTGTGTTGAATCGGTGCCGGTTTAAAATCGTTACAACGAGCATTACGCGAAACGCCGGCGAACAATGCGAACGATTAGTATGAATGAGTTATTTACGCGAGGTCGCGGTTAGACGAATGTAGATGCATTTTTTAACGTTCCCCAGCTCGTATCTCACGGAAATAAGTCCGTGTTTCACCTTATATCGTCGTTTTTTTCTCATTTTATGCTCGGCGGCGAATCCGCAGGCTCGCGAATACCGATGCGTTGGCATCGCGGGCTTTGGGCCAAAGTGTGTCGCTCACTAAGTACGCGCCGTTCTCTCATTCTGAATGAAACGAGCCCAGCGATGATGTAACATCTCCAATCATGTAACGCAATCCCCTTTTCCACCTGCTCGGTCGCACAAATGTATCCATTGCCCTTTCCCACGTAATAAGAATTCTCGTATACCCTTCACATTTTTTTTTAGTTATAGCACCGGAAAGTACGAAGACGCGTACAGACTCGCAGAATACGTTTGAAAATACTCAGACAATACTTGCAAATATTCTTCTAATATAATTTCTAATTTTTAAAAATAATTGTTGCTATTTTTTTACTATATATAATTATATTATAATAATAATTGAAGTTGCAGAGATGATTGACGTCAAGAATTAAAAAGTCATTTAGAATTAAAGACGACTTTTTAATTCTTTAAGTCAATCATCACTGCAACTTTAATTATTATTATGCCTTTATGATCTTAAATTTAAATTTTGTTTCTTTGAAAAATAAAAACGTAGATAGGATTAAAAAAAAACAGATTCGTCATCTAAGTTATGAAATTGTCGACTGAAAATACCGCTTATCGTGTTGAATTGTGCCTGTCGAAGGACTTATTACTAATCTGTACTTAGCGATGTTTACGTTTGTAATCAAACCCTGATGTGATTTTGATTATGCATGAAATATGCCGGCCGAATGTCCTTCGCATGCTTGTAACATGCGTCGAGTTTAATGCCATTCCGCTTCTGTGGGACATTTATTGCCCTAAAGCCATTAATTATATGAGATTTTATCAAAAGATTATAAGGACTCGCTACGTGGATCGCTCGAGTCTCGGTAAGTGACTTAATCTGTCACTATTTTGCGATTTATTTTATCGCGACAAAGAATATCAAGATATAATAGAACGCCTGTTAGTTCGAAGTTCCATTATTTGAATGAGCCACTATCCGGATGCTCTATTATTCGAATGTTTGCATAATGTTTACTTTTAAAGGATAGAAACGTATTCTTTTTATTTCGAAATGTTTGTCGGCATCGAGCAAATTACGCGAAAACTCGCTCATATCCCTTACGTCATTTCATTAATTCGGTCGGCTCTATTGTATTTTCAGAAATTCTATATATGTATTATGCAACGTGCTACGTCCCTTTTTTTCCACTGGAAAAATTCTGCGAGATTTGAACGATCTACGAGTGAGATTTACATGAATATTCATAAAATACGTGAGAAATACGTGGTGAATATTTTGCTCCGCGTCCTTCTTCTCGCAGATAACATCGTCGTGATGTTTCTACTATACATTTCCAGCTGTATTGCAGCCTGTCAATTAATTTCTTAAAAACGGAGAAGCGCCGTGAAATATCATAGTCGAGTGAAGATATTATCTTAGATCACCGCGCCGATTACTACCGTCATTACGCATTACGTGTCGTTACGTGTCGCACAGTGGCCAAGCTGTAAGTCTGCAAAAGTGCGGTTTTCCGGGATATCTGAACGCGCTGGGTCAAGGCTTTCCACGACGTTAGTCGCCTCGCCGCCTCGCCGTTTCGGCGGCTCGTAGTGCGATATTGCTAAAGCGATTATTATATTAATGAGCTTTCTCAGTCTCTCTCGCCGTACATCTAATCGTATGCAAAGCTAGCTCCGTCTCGCAGGGGGCTTTGATTGACGCGCAGGATGTTAATTAATTGCACGAAGGCGGCATTAATACAATACGATTGTCGGTCGGTGACCCATTCGTAAATATAGGGGATTACAGCAGTCTGCTGTATATTTTTATATTACTTAACAGCAATTGTCGTTAGGATAATTAGTCTCGAATTTTTAGTCTTTGGAATTAATGGCTTTTGATTCGCGATGCATCGCGCCCGAGTTAAAATCTGTAGTTGAAAAAATAAGATTTTAAAAATATTTGTATATTCACGGATTTTACGTTATCTCTGTTCATATAGAAAGCTGCATAGAAAGTAAATCTAAAAACACTTTTTTGCAATAGATCTCGAATTATCGATTGAATCCAATATAATCTAGATCGATTTCAAACACTATTGAGATTTGGTAATAGTATCTGGACTCAACTGAACGGCTCGTGTATCTATAGACAGGGCGTCTGTCGCTGTCACGCGTACACGTGGCACGAGACGCGCGATCACATCTCTCTTTGACCTCTCTGATCTCTCAACGAGACGCGATTTATACATATATTTGCATCTCTATCCCGGATTTTAATTTACATCTTTATTATCTAATCCTATATCGATCTGTAATAAGTGAACTGCGTTTTGCTTATCGGTCATCGCGATTGGAACTTAACAATGTAAAATCAGCGGATGAAATCCGAGATCTTCGGAAACTTAGAATCTCAAACAGAACGAGGAAAATGCACCGACACTTTTGGTATTTTGCAAAGCTTCCTTAATTAGGAAATATTCTTCTCTATGAGATATATATATGGCAGCTGTATCGAATTGAAAAGAATATCTTTTATTTTTATTTCCTTTCTTTAATCGCAAAATTTATGAGAATAATGCCTGACGATCGAGCCATATGCGGCCTTTGTTCGTATGCTAAATATATAATATGTGGATTATATAAGCAACCGCGACACGCATAATAATTTAGGTGTCGTGAGAACGAAAAAGACAGAGTTTGTTGGGGATGATGAAGCAGCTGACAATTCAATAATATCTTACTTCCTGTAATTTTCTTAATGTCCTGCAGTTTCACCTCAGTCTGCAAGTTTAGGTATATTTGTCAAATGAGTTTAGAATACCGTCTTTGTTCTGACGTAAAAAAACACAGATAAAGAAGTATATAAAGTTTATCACACAAGCGTACAGTGTAAACTCAATCTTGGAGCATCCATAAAAGTTAATAAGCGGATGTTAACTTGATTACTATATGTATCGGACTTATGAAGTCTCGACAACTGTTTGCTTTTAATTTTTTGCCATTTTTGTTAATATTTTATGTATATAAATTTGTTTTTTTACTCTTTTTATCAATTAATTGTGGATTAATTAATAAAAGATATTGGAACATTTATCTGATGGATAAAATTACACTTAAACTGTCTTTCGAATGAAATTGGTAACTGGATTACAAATAAAATGAATAATATTCAGCAAACATAAATTTAACTGTTACATCAGGACTTTCCAAACTTTTGTGGAACGCGACCCACTTGAAAATGGCAAACACTTGCGATCCATACTTTGGAAATTCCTATGCTATAGCATGTACGTAAACAAACATACGCACGTTTTTCATTTATATTCGGCGTAATTTTTCTGGGTAACAATTGTCGTGGCTATCACATCGCCGTGATACATCGCGATCACGGAACAACGAATTCCACTATAAATTGTCAATTTAAATCAACATATCAAATTTTGACGTGCGTCTACGAAAATTTGTTAATCAAATGTAGGATGATAAAAGCTACTTATCGCTCATTAGCCTTGTTGCTACGTCGTACTTAATTCGTTCGATAAAGAGAAACGATTGTGCGGCCGAATACACGTATTCGGTCTCGCGGAAACTCGTGAAATTATGTCATTGACGCGGTTTTTTACTGCAGTCCCCTAAGGTTCTTCTGAAAACCAATTAGATGCGGCACCGACACCTTGGACATTATATATTTTTAATTCTTTAGATCCGTCACCTGAAGGCCGATGCATTCACGTGTGTGTGTGTGTGTGTGTGTATGTGTGCTCGCGCTCGTGATCGCGGCTCGGCATCGCCATGAAAGTCGGTAAACCATAGTTTTGAGTAATGAACTCTCGGGCTCTCGGGTTTGTTTTCGTTTGCATAGCATTAGCGTCGAGTTCCTTCAATACATCCGGAATATTTGCATTAAAACTGTCATGTAATGCAAATGCGATATGAATAAGATCGACCTATTTAGCTATGAGCATCAATTTGATGTGCTATAAATTATAAGAGGCTACCTGATATATTGACTGACTCTGACAGTATCGCTGGGAATATATCGTTTAAAAAAAAAAAAGAAACATTGTATTGGATTAAGTGACATAAATTTATACATAGTTTTTTTAAATTAAAGGAATAATAATGGAGTTTTACCAAAAAAAAATCTCTTACGATTACCGATACTTCCTTGCAAAACGTTTTTACATAATTGAATGCTTGATATGAAAAAGACTCATTAAGCGCTATATTCCTCCAATTATTTACCGTTGAACAAAGTTCCATAAGCCAAGGCCGATAAAAAAAAGGATTGCAAGTGCTATTTATAGGAATCTCTTGAATTTGCGTGACCAGTAATAAAGTGCCCCATCCCTTCTATGTATGTATCTTTAATTTATACTACAGGTACATACTTTTACGAATAAATTTATTGTTTAAAAAATTTATATTTTTATGTAGATTCCCATTCTAGACACTTGCAGTTTTTTTCTTTAGAGAAAAATCTCTGATTTACTTCACATTGATCTTAAAATATTTATAACCAGAAGAAAAAGCTTTATAATGTTATATCGCGGATAAAAAAGGAAACATAATTTTCACCCGGGATATCCGGCGAATCGTTGAAAAGTAAATTAAGAAAAAATAGAACAAACCTCTTTCCATTCTCCACGCGCTCAGAAGCTGCCATTTCGGTCGGACCGGCTCGTGGCTCAATTTTTCCGTCTTCACGCATACCGACTGTCTTGCACATCGAAGGACGATGCAGCCGATACGTTGATGATGGCCTTCTTTCGTAGTAAAACAATATACAGTCAGATTCCTGCGCGATCGCGAAGATGCGAAGCCGTAATTACGGTCCTCCACCATTTGTTCCCAGCGTACGATCGGCTGAAGCTCGCTTACTGGCTAACAGGTGAGTAGATGCGCGACAAGTCGCAAGCGGATCTTTCTTTTTTACAAATTATTACGACAGCGGATGTTCATAGCAAGTTTAGCGATGTTCGGCTCGTCGCCCAGCCTTGGCATTCGCATTTGCATTAATTGATAAGCGTGTCATTTTGAAAAATATACATAGAAGCGATGAATACAGTTATCTGGCATCTGAGATATGCTAAAGGCGAATGCAAATGAGTATAGTTAAAAAAGACCGATAGAAATTTATACTACAGGTACAATGCTTGAAATAAAATATTGACGTTAAGGACGTGATATGTACGAGACTGTCAACACGTGTATAATTAATGATTTATTGATTACTTCATTGCATTCAATTTACTTTACTTAGTTATTCACGATTGAAATACAATAAGTGACTCAATCATGAAAAAAAGTTGATTTACAGAGTTTCCCGTGACAAGTTTCATTTATAAATTCCTCATGCAATTCAAAGTACATATTTTTTCTCAATAAATACACATATTAAAATAATTCTTAAATTATTAAATAATTATTATGAAAAAAATTATTAAAAATGAATGGTTTTTGTGCCAATTTTTCTTAACGGTAAACTTTTATTCCTCATTTAATATCAAGTGAAACTTAGTTTATTGGAACTTTAATTAAAAGCTTAATCATTAAGTTAAAAATTACGAAGTTTTGCAAAAAGATGGAAATCCCAGTCAAAGTTCTGCCGAAGAAAAATTGATTACAAGCACCACGGAAAGTTCGCAAATGAAGTTTGTCCGCAACACCCTGTATATGAAGGCACCAGTGAATTCGCATAAAAAAATTAATGAATTAATGCATTAAGTGTCCGACCAAAAAGGAATGAATTTCTCTCAATCAATTTCTCGAATCAGGTTTTTTCCGACTATTTTTTACTTGAGATCAGTCCCGTTGCACTCACCTGATCGGGAATCGCAGGCGTCTCGTAGGCAGAAGCGATCGACGATCCTCCCGTAATTTTTCTTCTGCGGAAAGTCGATCAGCTTTGTCTTAATCAAACCGGAAACGGCTTCTTCTTGATAGGACGACGTTCTTCGTCAGATATAAAACGTTTTGTGGGATTCAAAAATTAAATTAAATGGAATAATTTAACGAATTATCGCATCCAAATCGTTCCCACGGACTCGATTACGTGTTACGATATTTCTTATTTTATTCTTTGTTTATCAGATGCAAAAGTAATAACTGCAGGAATTTTCCATTTTGTTACATGTTTAAACGCAAATTGAATTGCTCTTGCATGTATATGATGTTCGCCATTATTCTTTACTGCCTGCGCTAATATTTCAATATTTACCGACTTATTTGCTTGCTTCGCCTTGATCGCCTTTATTTTCTTTTTCCGTCGGAAAGAAACTTTATGGTTCGTTAGAAATCCTTGTGGACCATTCTTGTGGGGCCATAAAACGGAACAGAAAATTGCCACTTTCAATTTCGTGTCTTTTCTAGCTCGACGACTTTGATGTATAATGCTATTAAAAAGATATTATTGTCACAAGGGAATTATAAAAGATCTTTTTCATAAAATCAATTTGTAATTGTACAGTTTGCTCTTGAACGAAGCAATCGACTCGTTTAATGAGTTCTCAGCGAGTTTCCAATTATGTCAGACATTGAATTGTATCTCTCTATATCTTTCCTGAATTTGTGCAAAAATTTTTTCAATCGAACGTCACACTTTCTTCTATTTCCACACACGTTTGCTCATTTATCAAAATCTTCTTACTCAACGTTTTTCGCAATGGCAAGCTGTAAAAGTATCTCCCAATTTCTTCTCCCTTTTCTAACAGTACAGAAGCAAGTCTCTCTTACATTTTTTTCTCGGCCAATCCCCGGATCGCAAGGAAGAGAAAGAGGAAGAAAGAAGAAATGCACGGGGGAGGTCTCGTTGCGGAGGTGATTTAGTATTCGCTTCTCTGTCGCGACAGAGATCTCCGGAATAGAACCACGAGGAGAAATCGCGAAGTAGAAAGCGTTAGAGAGCCCGGGTAGAGGATTGCCGGTTTACATTAGATCGGGCCGCCGCGACAGACTAAACGTCGCGCGGCGCGAAAGCCACGAGCTAGCTGCACTTTCGATTTTGAGCTCCCTCCTTCGACACCTGATGCCTTCCTCCTAACAGAGGTTGTAGGCGAATATAGGTACGTTACATACGTACGCGCGCATTACGCGTACGACCTCTCCTGCCTCCCTTCTCTTTGTGCTCGATCATTTTGTCGTGATTACACCCGCGGTATGCGCGACCGAGGACCGTCGATGCGACGGAGAGCAGAGGGACACGGCAGAGGGACACCGAGCGAACAGATAACTCTGGAAGATGTTAATTGCACGTTTCTTTGAATTACAAGAGCAGCGTTTGCACAAAGGATTTCGTCGGAGTTCTTAAATATACTTTTCGCCGAGATTGAGATATTATGTGAATATGTAATCTCTCATTATGAAATATTATGTTTTAATGTTACCGATGTGGAGCAATGTAGTTTTCCTTTTTAATTAAGATATACGAATAATGTATGTTTCTTTCTAAAATACGAATTAATATTTTCGTGAAGGATTATCACACTTCTCGAAGAATTTTTATATTGAATAATTGGCATTTTAATTATATTATTACATTCTAACGCTCTAATTTGTAGTAATTTGTAATAATTTATAAGCGAATAATCGTTCTTTCTAGGATATGAATTCATATTTTCGTGAAAGGTTTTTAACACTCTCGAAGAATTTGTATATTGAATTGGCATAGTAATTATATTGTTACACTCTAACGCTCTAATTTGTAGTAATTTATAATAATTTGTAAGAGAGATTCTTGGAACTGCTAATTAAAATAATTAAACAACTAATTATTTTAATTAGCAATTCTAACAACAATACAGTTATCATTAGGAGACATCAGACGTAATATTATGAATTTCAACGTAAGAATTTATAACATTCATCGCCTTTCTAACAATTAAAATGCACTCTCTGCCCCCGATAGCACCGATGAATATACAATTGCTTTCGTATATAAATTCTTCTCGAATCGCCTTGACTGATTATCTTTTACGGCATTATTATTCAAAATGGAAATATAAATGTGGAATGGAGATACGAAAATATGAGTTTCCTTAAGTAGTTTTTAATTTTAGACTGCGATTATAGCCGTGCTGAATGATTGATATTTTTCTAGACAATTTCTCGCGAATTCCCACTTATTACACGGATTTGAAATTAATGGATTACACACGACGACAATACCGATGCGAAATGATAATAATATGCCGCCGCATGTCACGTATTGTGTACTGTTCTCTGCAAATTTTACGCTGTGTCGGAAATCTATTCGAGGCAACATTTTTGCATTATTTCTAACAATGTCAATGAAAAGATCGATCACAGACGAATTTCATTGACTATTTTTATATCTCCACATTACTCCTTTACTTCATCGTCTCTCGCTACTTTTCTTTTCACACACGATCTTATACGCATATTTCGATTGTTCTCAAATTAATCAGTGCTCGGATTTATTATTCGTTTTTATATCTATTGCAGGGTGATTGCACATGTACGTGCATTATACACGAAATCGCTATTCGTTTTGATGAGATCAATTTTCGAGGGTGCTCCAGTTTGTTAATTTGCATCACCGCGAAATCATTTTTCAGTGTCTATAGCAATCGGAATGTCGATTCGCCGAAATTGCTTCTGTTGGAATATCTGCTTGCAATATATTTTTTAGGGGTTGCGTGAGAAATACATTACTATACGAGAGGTTTGATCGACGCACTAAACAATTTCTCACGAATGTACTTACGTTTTAATAAAACGAGAAAACAGGTGTCAAAGATTATGTTAATCTCCTTATTATTGTATCACGGAGAGTTTTCTTTTAAAATTTATCCTGAAAATTTTGTTAATCGTTGGACAGCATTAAGTATTTCAACAAATTTTACTGCGCACTACAATATATTTGTTGTATCAAAGTATATATAAAAAAAATTAGTGAAAATCATATAAAATTCGTCGAAATACTATGTTGTCCTACGATTAACATAATTATCAGGGTAAATTTTCAAATAAAATTCTCTCCGTATAGGTAATAAATAGAGATGTAAGACATAGTGGTAAACACGTGATACAGACAATGTGCTGTAATAATAGACACATGCTAGAATCACGCGAAAGAGGAATGATCGGCTTATAGTAGCCGAAAGGCAAAGTGGGAAAGCGAAGCGGTCGGTCCTGCGATGTCATCGCGAACAAATGACTCGAGAAACATACGTGATCGAACTAACATCGTAGAAGTTCTCTTTTCAGTTTTTCCTCTAATCATTTCCTACATTATCGTGGATTACGTTGCTAGCTGTCATTGATCTCTCTCTTCTCTATTATCTGTTTGTGCCAACGCAATTAATGTTACCGTTTTACACCGCGCGAAGTGGCGACGTCGAATTAAGTAATTGACCCGAGACAATAAAAATTTGCATATGAACGTAATACATTAGCATATCTTAAAAATGCAATTTGTGCGCAATGTTTTTCTTCAGCAAACTATGTAGCTATTGCGAGTATTGATACCGTGTATATATATATTCCTTCGCAATGCTAATACTACAGTATGAATATTAATATTGTTTAGCTGTTTATCAAAATTAAAACTGAGTGTTTCTCTAGTGATATTTTATTATAATGACATTTTTAAATAATCATATCGTTATGACAGCTGATTGAATCGACAGCTACGGCAATTTCTTCAGCTTGCTCTGTCGTTCACGCTTGCATATATATTATACATATATCTCGCGATCTCGCCATATGATTTTCTTTATTTAAATATATAAATAATTCATCTGGACACAATTGACGAGACTGCAATCGCTGTTGCAGTCGGACAAAGTAGGACGACACTTGTCGCCACGCTGAGAATACTTAGAAAATTTTATATTGCGTCAACTCCCGATCGTAATGATACTCAGACACGTATTAACAGCTGTTACAAAATATAATCATTCCATTAGCGGATGCAACTAATCAGAAGAGGAAAGTTTGCTTTAGGAGAAGGTCTTGGGAGAGTATAAATTGCATAATTCTTCGTATTACAACGCAATACCTTTCCTTTTATGCTTGTTTACACTTGTGCGGTACCGAGAACTGTCAAAAGAATTTCAAATCCGTGTGACTGATCATTCCGGAAAAGATACGATGATAAATATGACGAGACATAAAATATAAAACGAGTTGGAACGAGTCTGGGTACATTAAATACGGCAGTTTATTAAGAACAATATATTTTGCTCTGTACTGTGCATATACAATCTCGGCGTTATTCGCCGTTAATTAATCAAATAAATATAAAAGTTATACAGATTTAATTAATTGCTAGCGAGCCAACCGTTTCATTGCGATAGTACATTTTATCATAATACTGGATGATCAACAAATCGCTAAGAGATTGTGACGATGTTTCAATCACGGCTAATGTTCAAAGCATCCTAATTAGCGTAAAACATTATTAGTCAAACTTTTATCAGTTCTTGTCAAAAGTGCAATCAACCAAGTAAATTGACTGTATATTTTCTTTCCGATTGTGTCACAATTTATCAGATATACAAATCACTCCCTTTTCTTATCTTATTTTCTATTAGTAGATACAATCGATGTTTCGACACGCAATGTTTTGCTACGTAGATAGTTGCTTAGGAAAAAAAAATATATATATGTATAATATATATTCGCTATCTTTCTCTTTTGATGCTCGATTATCAATGATCGTACAGTATACTAAAATAACCACAGTGATAAAAACAATGTACATTCAGTCTAAAACGATTAACTCACGAGAAATATAGACGTGTAGGTATAGTCCGCCTTATTATAAAAATAATATCATTGCGCATGTACAATTTTATAAATTATCATTTTCTAACGTAGCAATATTATATATGATACGGTATGGTATAGAAAATACGTGGCAGAAATCGAGAAAAATATCTTTTTGCACAATGTATTATTAGCACTATTGCCCGACACGCCAATATTCCTGAGTTAATTTTTATTATTTGTGACACTCGACTTTTTTTTTAATTCGATTTAATAAGATTTTCATACATCCTCAGTAAGAAGTTATTGCATCATTTCGAAATTATTAACACAGGTAATTCCCATTCGCAAAAAAAAAACAAAGTAACAAGTTGAAACATACACAGTACACTCCTTCCCAAAGAACTATATGTTCCTTAACATTATATGCTCCTAAAGAAACTTCGGTGCAGCTGCCAAGTAAAAAGCAAGTAAAGAAGCATACCTTCCTTATATTGTATGTATTGATTTAAATACAACACATTACTACAGTGACTGTGCAAATATATAGTTCGCATAAAGTGAAAGCACACGTCACTTTGTTCAAAGTGATGACCGTCGTAAGAAAATTTGTTCTTAAGAACGTGAATTAAGAAATGTTATTTAGTATGACGAGCATGAATCTGCATCCATTTAATGGAATTAATCAGATCGGCGAAGTATGTTCACAAATAATGCATATAATCAATATACGCACGAGTTTCTCTTTGATTTAATTATATGTCAATATTTCAAGAGCTAAGTTTCGAGCTCAAAACAAGAAAAAAAAAATAAATACAAGTATTTTATTTCTCGAATTATGACATATAAAATTAAATAAGGTATTGACATATAATTAAAAATTATCTTATATATTCATTTTTACCCGTGAAATAAATTAATTGTAAATCATAACATAACACAACCGTCATGGTATTCTCAAAATACCGTCATAGCTAGAGTGTCTCTAAATTTTTACAACAATCTGGATACACTAAATTTTCTTCAGTTAAACAATAGTGACGAATACTTCGTGTTTGAAGATAATCGTCACGCATATATTAGATAAATAAGAACACATATTCCAGAGTTCTAACTAAACGGAAAATAAATTTTTATTTTTAAGTCTGTTTTACTTAATATATATTGTGTAATTAGGAACAAAAAGTTATTTCATTTCGTCGTATTTATCTACGTTTTTTATTTCGCTCTTACTCTCGATATGAAGATAAAAATGACGGACATGATAAAGGCACTTTTAAAACCTGATGTACATACAAGATCGATACATTTTCATCTATATATGTATATATATAAATTTACGTAAAAACTTATAGGTAATAATTTTGAAAACGTTACAATTTTTAATCATTGAACATATAACTTTATTACATTATTCAATAATTTCAAAAATTGATAATTTGGAAACGATTTTTTATAATTTCATAACTATAATCTTTTATGACTTCATTTGCTAGAGACAAATATTCAAAATTCTCACTTAGTTTTCTGTTGCAAATACATCATAATTTTTATTACCGTTATGGTTATTGTTGTTAAATTCGTGGATCATAACAGTTTTACGCCTTTCTATTAGAGAACGACATCGGTTTTACAAATGCATGTATGTTATCACGATGCGTTACTTATAGTAAAAAGTTAAAAATATTTAAATAAAACATTAAGCGCTTTTACAATGCATAACAAAAGCTAATAGACGTTCCAAAATGAAGCACAGCCACTATGGATGTTATAAAATATCAAATAAACGCCTACTAAAATTATTTTTCATATCGTAAATCAGGAGATGAGTTCAGAATCATCTTTAATTAAACTAAATAAAAATAAATTTTGAATTGAACGTATCATTCTATATGTAACTATATTAATCTTCATTTCTTCCAACTTTTCAATTGGTGTTCAATGCCATTAATGTCGACGATTCGGCATAAAAAATCGAAGATGCGATCATTCATATATATATAGCGTTCCGCTCGGATAAAAAATATATTCCCGTAAAGACGTGTATTATCATACAACATAAAACTTACATCGAAAATATACATCACTCTTTAGAATATACACGCGATATATATGTTGTATAAAAATCTACAGTTTCTAAGATCTAAATTAATAACGTAACACACTTCTTCAAATGAATGTCGCTAAAGATAGAGAAAAAAAAACGGCTATGTACACGCGCGTACGAAGAACTTTAATCCAGCTTATCAGAGACCAGCGGAAATCTGACTATTCTCAATTGCCGACCATAGTCGCAGACGACACTGTCCCTCAGCGCCAGCATTTGCTTTACGAAAATGCAGCTGTCTTTATGACCCAATCTTACTTCCCGCACCGGCTCGCCCGTCCGTACGTCCCAGACCACTAATGATCCCTATAACATTAATATTCGAATTTGTGAGAACGAGCACACTATTTTCGTAAATCGAGCATTCGAAATACAGTCTTATATGCATACCTGATTGCTGGTTATGAGGAGATGATGCGTTAACATCACCAATTGTAAGCTATAAGCTGCTTTATGCGCCGGCAAAGTATGCAATAAGTGTCCTTGAAAGCGTTCCCAGACGCACAGTCTTTCATCTGTTCCGATGCTTATCACATAGGACACTGAACATGTGATAGCGGCCACAGCACCGTCGTGGGCTTGAATACTATACATGCACGCTCCTGGAAAGAATATTACATAAGGGCATTAGATCAGAAGAGGTATAACAATTATATAGTATAAATCACATGTTTATCAAGATGAGGGAGGATGTGTCACCTGTCAGCAGATCCCACACGCACAACAGTCCATCTTGAGAGCCGCTACCGGATGTCATGGGACTTATTCTATCGATAAAGAGGCACGATATCGGACCGCAGTGTCCATGAAGCGTATACAGGGGCAGCTGGTCTTCTAACCTGGATAAGAAAAATATACACAGATACATAAACGATTCTTAGGAAACAAGCGAAGCTGGAAATTAGACTGCGCGTTACCTGTACACTTTCAAGGTGTGATCCTGGCTGCCTGTCAATACACGACCGCCTTCGCTGTCTAAGACAGTGATCGCTTGTTGATGCGCTCTGTGAGAGCCGATTTTCATGCAACGCAGATCCTCCTCCGTTTGCATGCTGTTGTTTAGGTCCATCGGCGAACCAGCGCTTCCCGTTCGCACGTGCGCTAAAATAGCGAACAGATCGATTAAACGTAAGATATAATTTATCTCAATAAAGAAATAAGAGCTTGCTATTCATGCGACACAACGCAATATCACGCGGAATTTAACGTGGAAGTAAACGCTGGTCATTATTTTAAAAATCATTTACTTCTTCTGTAAGACGTGAAGCCCCAATCAATCTGCTGGCCTTCGCTGTAGCTCTCAAGTTGCAGGAAGTCGACAGTTCCATTCAGTTTAGCCGCGACTACTCTGCTACCGACGAGTCTAACGGCAGAGATTCCAAGTCCTGATCCATCATCGAAGAGACACTAAATTAAAGAATGAGATTACAGAGTTTAATTAATATACGCTTGTCAGAATAATACATTCACTCAAATTATTCGCACTCTCACCTTGAATCTACCGGTCGTGCCCTCCCAGAATTCTAGACTGCCGTTAGCGCACCCCACCACTATGAGATTTTCCTGATAATCCATACACCAAATCGCCGCTATAATCTGCGACGATTGTATTGTGCGATCGGTGTTTATGGACGATGTGCTGCCAACTAAATTGCTCGATCTCGCAGAAAGAACGTTCAGCGGTTCCCTCGCCTTAGACTTTTGCATCTCCTCGATCGACCTGTTGTGCTCCTCCAGCATGATCTTGTACCGCTCGCCGAAGTCGAAGCCTTGATCGTAATTCTTTTGCGAGGGTGAATATTTTATGTTCGAGAATTTGACGTTGATCGCCGGCCTCAGGTCGGGAAGATCGTAAGCGCTGCCCAGGCTTCGACGCAGCAGCAGCTTCTGCTTGGTGTCGCTACCGAGCTCGTTGATCTGATAATCGTAGTCCAGCATGCTCCCGACGGATCGCCGGTTGTTGTTGTTGCTGTTGCTGCTGTTGACCCTTCGCATGTTGTAAGCGGGAGACAACTTCCCTTGGTACATCGCCGAGGCCGGCGAGTAGAATCCCATCGACTGCGCCGCCTCCATCTCGCCGCGAGACGGCGGCGAGCCGCTCTCGTAATCCGACATCAGCTCGTCGGCGTCCGGGGACGTTTGGCTCAACGTTTTCTGCGGACCGCTGAAGAACAGCCGTCGGTCGATGTGCGCCAACTGCTCGCCGGACGTCGAGTCCCATACCCTGATGTGTCCCGCTAGGCACGTGCTCGCGACGGTGTTGCCGTCCGTCGCGATGCACTCCACCTCCTGCGTGTGGCCCTCCAGGACCAGCGGTACCGCCTCCAGCACCAGCTGCGTGACGGAGTCGTGCGTCTTCTCCTGCTGGTGCCAGCTGGCTCGCCACTCCGCGTAATTTCGCGAGCAGATACAACGGTACAGCACCACCATCGTGTACGCGACCACGATCACGCTGATGAGGCACAGCAGAGCGGCTAGAAATATCTCCATCGGGCTCGACGGTACGAAAGGCGCGTCCGCGTTGAATACACGTCCTTCCGATCTCGACGGTCCCTCCATATCTGAAGATATAAACGCACAAAAAGGTTGAAGACTCGACAATTGTTGATCTTTTGTGTAACTTTTCACTGAAAAAAGAAAAAAAAACAAACCTGAGAAATCTAAAGGATCGAGCGCGGCGGTGGCGAGACTCTGCCACTGGAAGTGTTGAACGTCATTTGGATTGCTAATTTGTCTTGCTAATTGCGGGCTCACCGCGTGCGATAACTTTATCGTCGGCAGTATCGTCACTCGTCCGCCGGCGATCGACACGTTGTACATCGAGAGAATTGAAGACCAATGATACAGCGATAGGCTATTCCAAGGCGGGAAGTCCATAGGTCTCAGCTTATTTAATTTCTCCGTTGCATTATTAGTTAGATCCTGTGAAAAAAAAGATGCATTTTTTCCTTAAATGTATAGGCTATTTAAAAAATATGAAAATGAATGGTCCCTTGAAAATGAAAAATTTACCTGTTCGTTTAGATTGGCCGGGGCTACAGTTGCAGGCGATATAGACACAGGTGTTGCCGTATTTAGCTCGACATAGTTGTTTAATGACTGAGGCTTGTCTATCGTATATCCATCAATGTCAGTCTCGCTTAGGTGTATTATGTGCTCGATGATGCCGTAGTCGTTAATGGTCATGCTGATCCACACGATCATGCCTACCATAAATGCACGCTGGAAGATACGCGTTCGCGCCCAGAAGTGCACCAGTCTCAAACGCTTGGGGATCTTGGCCAGCGTGTGAGTGTTCTGTGTATTCGGGGCGATAACGCTGGTCGGGCCGGTGGAGAGGCCGTTCAATCTCGGGTGAGACTTGGAGCGGAATATGTGGGGCTTCCTGTTGGTAATCGTGGTGGTGAACTGCTGTCTGCGCGACGCCTGAATGTGCGACAGGTGAAACTTCGAGTTCTCGCTGGACAGCTCCGTACGTCTGATGTCGATCGCCAGGATCGTCGAGAAGAACATCATTTGCAGGAAAAAGTCGTTCAGCAGGCCGACGATGGCGAATATGCAAAACTCCTGGATGGCCGGGACAAAGGTGAACAGCCCGATGGTCAGAATCGTCACCTCCGTGAGTAGATTCTTCGTGATGGACCAGCCCTCCTTCGACAGAGCCTGCGCGACGCGTATCTTCACGTCCAATTGGGCGGGCGTGCTCACGACACTCTTCGTCAGCACCTGCACGTTCTCGAGGCCGAAGATAATCACCAAGTACGGGAACACTTCCTTGGCACTCATGCTCAGCGTCAGACCGAAGAAAAAGCACACACCCATAGTCATCGACAGCGAGCCCATCACCGTCACGCTGGCACTGAACGCAATGCCGATTTTAGACTTTACCAGTTCTATTTTCCGCACTTGGAAGTACTCGTACAAAAATAATAGCAGGGAAGTCATTAACAGCGGGAAGAATTCACTGTAATTGAATTCACCGGGATAGAAAATATTCAGCACTTCGTCGCGCGCGTCTACGCCCGTGCTGTTGTCGACGTTTTGATGCAGGTGATAATAGGTCCTCAGTCGGCGCTGCAATCCCTTTACGAATCTGTAAGCGAACGAAATGCATGTTAGTATAATCTCGCACTGATAATGAACTTGAAAAAAAAAAAATGAATTACGTTAGACACTCACTCCTGATCGTATTTCTTTAAATAAATAGTCACGGCATATTGCAGGATTCTCTGGCGAATTCGAGCAGGATAACGTTTCACTCCCGTTTCCTTCAAACTCATTCCAAACATCACTTCGGCGAGACTTAGCTTACCCCTCTGAAGGTTCTGTAGTAAACATAAACATAAACTCACGCCTTTTCACAATAAAGATAAGACTAGGACTATAACATGCCAAAATGAAAAGAAGAATGCTTTATTTATTGCGTTACAGTAAAGAAAAATGCATAATTATGTGCAAGACTGTTACTGCATGCGAAATTATAATTTCATAATCGTAACATTTACCTGATACGAAAATATTGTATTAATGAGATTTGTGTCTTGAGCAAATAATTCCATACTCTGTTGCCAGAGATTTGCGGGCGATAAGACAAGACAGTTGTATTCTGGCAAAACCTCGGCCTTCTTGCCATTTCTTTTCTTCACTGTTTCAATATGCAAGCATACCTTGTCAAGTGTCTCTAATCTAAAAATCAAATCAGATCAGATTATTATTCCAAGGAGAAAATATATTTCAATATCAAATCTTTAATTTTTTTTTCAGAAAAATAGATGTATTTTTTGCACATCTTGAGTTTTACATAATCTTTGAATATATTACCTTTGAATATATTTAACATCTTAAAAAAGAAGTCGAACATGAATTACATGAATTACAATTCGATTCCAAATAGTTAGAAGATCTTTTAATTAATATCTTATTTGCCATATTGCGTATGAACTATACTTGCTAGTTAATCCTCTAACCAGAACATCGGTCATTATGACTGCTACCAGTTTTGCTAATCTATGTTCCGGCTAGAGGGTTAAAGGTGGAGTCACTCACGTTTCTGGATGCTGATAATTCCGTATGATCTCCAAGAGATTGAACACTTCGTACAGGGGTCCCCTGAATGCGTCCATCAGCGTGAGGTCCTCGCTCCATGGCATCACTCCGATTCTCAGCACCACTTGTTGTACGTACAGTACCGAGGTCTCCGTGCCGTTCGCCGGTAGGACAGTGTCGTTGATCAGGGTTTTCGGGGCATTGCCCGGCAAGGGCAGATTGACAAGCGGGTAGCTGCGACCGGACCGGAAAGCAAAACACCTTTAGACTCTCTTGTTCCCAAGATCAAAGCAAACCTGACAAACAGTCAGCGACGATCAGAGGGCGGGGGAGGGAGGGGGAGGGAGGGTGGGACAGATCAGGTGCGGGGCGACTCACCAGCATAGCAGGAGGACCGATATCGCGAGCGAGAGCACGACGACGGGATGGGACGAGCAGAACAGGCCGTGGGCATAGTAGAGCCCGGCCACTCGGTCCGGCAGACTGCGCGACATTTTTCACCTACTTCGTCCTCCTCTTCCTCTCCTTCCAGCCTTGGCGCATCTCACCTACGTCGACGTGGGCAGCCGATCGCGGGCCGCCGTGCCGCCGCCGTCGCCGGTAACTGACCTAGCAACATCCAACAATTACGGCCATTCAATGTAGCACCGATACGGCGAGCTGCTGCGTGACACATGATACACCGCGAGGCGAGCGACGGCGCCGACGGAGAATAAGATAGAGGTTAGAGGAGGGAGCAAAAAGGCGCCGCGTGTTTTTCATCGATTTATCGCCGTTATTACGCAACGAGAGAGGGTCCCCCGGGTGGGCGGTTGCGTGTATATGCGCGCGCGCGCGCGCGCGCACGTGTGTGCACGTCGGGGCTAACGCTGTGCGGATATTTAATTCGCGGCGCCGATAAGCACTCGGCCAGGTCGAACTTGGCCGTTCGTTCTCCAGGCCGGCCGTTCCCCCCCGTGGCCGCGCCGCGGCGTTCTCCAATTCGTGCGCCAGTCACGTTTTCACGGTTAACGACCACCTCGACTCCTCGACTTACGGCATCCCCTTGGTCATCCCCGCTTCATCGCCGACGTTCCGAGGGCTGCCACCGAGCTCCGCGTGTGTCCCACCAGGAAGAGAAGGTGCTCGACGACGACGACGACGACGACGCTCGGATTATCGATCGTTTCCCCAACGGGAATGTTCTCGCGAGACGTTCTCGACGACGACGGTGCGCAATTTTATTCCCCCTTTCGGTCCCGCGCTTCGCCCCGCGCGCGCGGAGAGACGAGGACCGCGGAGCGGGAGGACCCGAGGCGGCGAGGAGGCCGAGGAGTTGACGCGAGACGCGATAAAAAGTCAGTGGCGGAGCGCGAATGAAGCAACAGCAACAAAAAAAAAATAACTACGCCGCCGCGCGTGAATCTATGTATGTATGTATGTATGATGTATACGGTGTGCACGAGGAGAGCTTTGGAGGTTATGTTCGGCGCTCGTTTTTGCGGCGCATTTAGAAGTCACGACGACGGTACGTAGGGGGGGGGGTGGAGGGAAGAGGGAGGGAGGGGGGAGAGCGCCGCTACTTGGGAATCGATTTCACACGGCGCGCTTACTTCAAACGCGAGTCGCTTATTGCGCCCGCACGTGCCGCGGGACGTGCGGCGTCACGTCATCGCTCGCGTAACTCTCGAGTGCCGGACGGAGCGAGCGAGAGCGAGCGCGAAATTCCCGGCGCGATCAGGGGCTCAAGAAGGGGGGGGGGAACGGGCGCCGGTCGCAACTCGCGACGCGCGCCTACGTGATCGGAACGTGCGCGGACGATGATTATATTCCGCTCCTCCGTTCCTCCAACTAACATTCCTCGCCGCGCGATAAGCCAAGCCGAACACCACGTCGCACGGATCTCCTCCTTCCCTTCCCCCCCCCTCACCCCTCGGCCGCTTCCTCGTGTAACGTTCTCCCCGCGAGTGCACTGGCCCCCGCGATCGTGCCGGGCGAGGCGTTCGCGCTCCCGCAAACACACACGCTCCGGAGCAGATTAATTTATTTTTAAACCCGTGGGGACCCAACCCGTGGGGGTCGAGCCTCCGCCGCGCGGCCAATCGTCGCCAGGTGCGTCGCCGAATACACACGTGGCCGCGAAAGGGTTGGGGAGGGGGGAGAGGGGGCGGAGGGGAGCGCGGAAGGGAAGAGAGAAAAACAGGCTCCTCTCCGGTGGGACGTGCGTCGCGCGCGAAAGGAGAGAAGGTATCGCGCCTCGCAGACCGAGGTCCGTCGCGTAACTGTTGTGGCCGCGCGCCCTGGTTTCTCTGGGTGTGTGCCTGCGTGTGTGTGTGTGTGTGTGTGCACACGCTCGAGCCGCGCAGTCAACTAATCCGTGATTCGATCGCATGCATAATCGAAGGCGCCCGCGGGGAATGCTCGCGGACGTGGGTGGGTGGGAGGAGGGGTGGAAGGGAAAAAAAGGTTTACGCGTCTGCATAATGCAGAGGAGCAGAAACGATCGCTCGGGAATTCGGCGGAGATGGACGGAGTAGATATAGGAGAAAGAATGGGTGAGAGAGTGAGAGAGAGGGAGGGAGGAGGGATTTCTCGCTTGGAAGAGATTAGATGAAGTAGAAAGAATTCCCACGACGCAAGAATTCAGGGAAAATGAATAAGAATAGAAGTCTCTTGTACAAATTTCGACGACGACGTTCGTCATCGAATTCCGAAAAGTTTCTTCGGTGAAAGGAATGCTGGAGAAGGGGAAATTATATGTATCGTGAAAGGAGCTTTCGCGACAGTTAACAATGATTGACGATAAATTAACGGGAGATAAATGATATTTGAATTACAGCCGAGATTTTTTTGGATGTAGCTTCCAACGATTGCGAAATGGTGCAAAATCATAGCGTGTCATTTTCCTTCTTCTCCTTTTAGAATTGTTAAATCCTATTCTTTTCCATCGCTATCTATTCATGAGGCTTCATCGCATGCATAACTTAACAGCTTGAATAGCTGCGGAGTAAAGCTTAATTTTTTTTTTTTTTTTCGACTACTAACCGGCCGGTGGAGTTTCGCAAACAGATTTCAAGTTGCAAAAGATCGAGTCGCGAAAAATCAAGGTGCCAAAGAGCACGTGAGTTATAAATGTCAGAGTTGATGCTTGCGAGAAAAATGTCTCGGGTGTTATATTAAAGAAAAAAAAATCGTGTTAAAAACTCACGTTATTTACATTATAATTTAGGAATTGAATCTCTCCAGTAAATCTTATACTTCTCCGAAACTTTTTTTCCGTTTTAACTTTTGTGTAAATTGTTAAAAATAAACTTCTCGGGGAGGGAATCGAGATTTGTCAGTGTCAGTCACATCGTACATCAATAGAGACCGGGCGTCTCCGCGTTTTTTTCTTTCGCCGCGTCTCGATTAATTAATTACCTACAAGCGTGGCGGTCGAAGAAGAAAGCGCGAGGTCACTTTAGCACGTAAGTAGTTAACACCGTGCGTCGTTAATAATTCGTCTCGCTCGCGTTATACATATATATATATATATATCTTCCTCACGTTCGATTGGGCTTTAGCCGGGCTGCGCGCTGCTCCGCGCGGCTTCGCGGCCGACCGACCGTCCCGTGCGCCTATTATCCCGCGATTGACATGTCTAATTGCATCAATTGCGTAATAAATGGAAATTAGGCTGCTGTAAATGGTCGGGTATCGCTCGGGGGTCAATCGTCTGCGAACGTGCGGGCTTGCGGCGCGGCGCGGCGCGGCGCGGCGGCGCGACGCGACGCGACGCGACGCCACGCGAGCTCGGCGACGCGCGGACGGCGCGCTCTCAGCGAACAAGAAACTCGTGGGAGTTTCGGGAAAGAAGAAAGAAATTCGCATTGCGCATTATTATGTCGCAATTAGTTACTGACGTAAGCCCGAAGGTTATTATTAATTGCGGCACGGCGACCGTGATACCGCGTGTCCCGTTTTCTTCTTCTCCGTCCAGCCGCACGCGCGCTTGGTTTCCAATTTTCCAATCCCTCCTTCCCTTCCCCCCCCCCTTTTATCGTTCAACTTCTACCCCTACCCGTTTTTCGTTATTAATGGAATTCATTGCGCGGACAATACGGGCAAATACGTTTTGTGCAGATATGTAAAGATCGCGTTGTTTTTTTTTCTCATAGTTTTAAGACCCTTTGAAAGAGAGATTACGAAATATTAATATATTCTCATTTTCTTTCTTCCCCTTTTTATTCGCTCCATTGTTCCTCCCTTTCTTCCACCAGTGCTCTTATCTTAAGTGCGTTTAGAAAAAGAAATGTGTTACGGCAGCTGCATTAAGCGCGTTTATTTTATATATAGAACTTATATGAAAATATTTAAAATTAAAAACAGGTGATATACGCATGCTGACCTGTTTTAACATTTGTAAAAAAAAGTCGTTTGTAAGGATATCGAAATTTATTCACACATTGCATATGAAATGATTATTTTACAAAAGTGCTGTTCATGCTTTTAATTGACAATAAATATTTCTGGATTGCGTTACATTCAGATTGGCCATGCTATTTGAATCGATAAATATGCTGTCGGTAATAGCTGCAGTATTATTCCAAAAAGTATCTTATATACAAGATGATTCATATATTTCTTCAGAAAGTTTTGGAAAAAAATGTCTTAATTTTTTTGGGGCAAGGCTTTTAAACACGCCTTTAAAAAAAAAGATGCTTTTTAAAACTCGCGCGTGTTATCTGTTTTATATTCTATACCTCGATTCGCGGTGACGCGGTGACTGAAATTTGGTTTGGCCTTTAGCCAAGCCGAGTGAGATAATCGTAGTGCAGAAATGCGCAGGAAATACACAATCATCCGTATATATTTGCGTAATTAGCATGAAACGTTCGTAAAACGCCGTGTGACGTGCTAAAGAAATAATTAGAGGCAATATTAGACGTCATATGTTTGCATATTCGTTAACGCGGTAACAAAAAGTATTATCGAGCGGGATTTGTAAGGCCTTGACCATTGAATTCTTACGTGTAGTGACTGGTGTATATGTAGATATATCCGCAAATGTACTTGCCTTTTTCTTTCTGCTCAGCCGCAGACTGTTTCTCGATATTTCCTTATCGGCATTATGTAATAATATTTTTTTCATGAAATGACTGACATTTTTATCTTCGGGCGTTCGAGATGAATGAAAATAAATAAAAAGGACAAACCGATAATGTTAAAACTAGGAAAAAGTCAATAATTTCTTATATTTTAAAATTTTTATATTTAAAATATACGTATTATATACATGTATAAATAAAAAATACGATAAATAATTTGCTTTCCGTTAGTAATTTATTAAATAGTTTATTGAAGTGATTATTGAAGATAACAGCGCGCATCGATACATTGCATGTATTGGTTTCTGACGATTGCCATTTGATGCACATGTTGCCGTTGTTCGGGCGTTCCGTACAGAGAACGTTTCAGCAAATTTGTATAATAATAAAGCGTTATTTTTTGTTGAATTTTAATATAACTTTTCAAACCCCGAGGTAGTGAATTAGACATTTATTTGATGTTGCAACCTAAATAATTCTGATTTTTAATCGTATGCCTCAGACAGGCGGGACAAAGATCAATACAATTAAATTTTATTCTGAATTTAATTTCCCATGCATTTTACATTAACCGAGTTCTAATGTGAGATAGTTACGACATTTAGTATTCGAAAATTCAAAGCTGCGAGAAAGATGTCGTCCAGTTTAACGTGAAAAAGTAATTCGTGGATTCAAATCTTTCCCCTCGCCTCTCCCCTTTTTTAATGGAAACCCTCTCTGCAAAAGTTAAATCATAAATTGCACGATATAGTATGCACGATATAGTATGCAAACGACATTCAACTTCCGACAATTAATTACATTCGTACTGTACATTATGCTAAGTAATTGTTGCACGGGATCGTAACGTTGTTATAACGTTACGTTTATCGCTCAGAGGTCCTCGTGGGAGCTCGTCTCGTCGGCGGTTTTCATTATAACGGTAAACCGGTAAAATTTTATGCTAGCGAGCGTAGCCTCGTCTTCAGATTACGGGGGAGGACGATATCGAGGTACAGGTTCTTAGGCAATATAGGCAAATGGGGCTTATAATAAAATCGCTTCGATAAATATTAATGGTATCGGTAGCGATGCGCCGGCTGCCGTTAGTTAGTTAGAGCTCGATGGCTTCCTCTCATCCGCTCCGCGGATGAAATCGATATCCGAGGTCCTCGGGTTATAGCTCCGGGTACCCGGATTTAATCCTTCACTCGCGAAGTTTCTCAAGAATCTAATAGATTCGACGTGTTTTCAGTCAGGAAGAAAAAATATCGAGGAGCTCTGATCATCCCATTCTTATACTTAAGCGTGACACATAGTTCACCAAATAAATCTGTCGCACTTGTCTCCCGATATTTCTATACCACAAATTTTCGATCCGATATAAAACAGTTTCACCTGAATAAAAATAACATGTTATTTTATATATATTACTGGTTTTATTTCAACCGATCATATGAATCCAATCATTTTTTATATTCTGCCAAGAATATATTTGGTTCTCAATTCTTTCTTTTTATAGATATTTGAGAAAATATGTATATTTTTTAAATAAAAGTAACAATATCCCCCCTCTAATGAGTGTCAAATATTAAGTAACATTGGCAGCATTGGAAAATTT